CTAGCTCGCCGGACGGCGAGCTGGGACAGCTGGCCTAGCTCGCCGTTCGGCGAGCTAGTCTCGTCACGACTAGCTCGCCGCTCGGCGACCTAGTCCCATCCCCACTAGCTCGCCATTCGGCGAGATAGAAGCTTCCCGGGCAGCTCGCCGAACGGCGAGCTAAACCAGTCCGGTTTGGCTCGCCGTACGTCGAACCGACCATCCCGAGCCTCGATCTCCCACATCCCCGAGTCAAGTCTTACGTCCTTTGACACGATCATGTTCTGAACCACGGTCGAAATGTCTCCCGTTTCGTCTCGATCCGTCCTATCGTTTGAGTTTTACGATAAAAACCGCAAAACTTTGTTTTCTCGAAAAGAACTCGAGGAAATCGTATAAAATGGCAACGGTTAAACGAAACACCGAACATTGTCTAAACTATACGATTTATTCGAGAATTTTCGTAAATATCGTAAAAACGCGTTTTTAATAAAAAAAACGAACATAGCTAAACTTTACCATTAACTCGGGGAATTTACTAAGAACGGCATCGGATCAGGAAACGACCTCGTCTAAAAGTCGTAAAACGGTTTTGTCGCAAAACGGTTCGAAAGTTCCTAAAACGCGATAAAAGCCTATCTCGCGACTTTAACGAAGTCTAACCCGAAGATGCGACGACGTTTTGACGATTTACTCGCAGAAAGAAGATAAATGTCAAACTTGAAGATAAATGTCAAGTTTGAGGATAAATAGAAGATTTCCGCGGGAAAAAAGGAAAGATAAAGATAAATGGAAGATTCCCGATAAGCTCGAATCTGGGCGAAATGGAAAGACTACACCGCCTAGGAAGGGAGTATATAAGCAAGAGGCATAGGGCAGAAGCAAGGGACGAATTTCAGAGTTCTCATCTGAGACTTTTAACGAAAGGAAAAAAAAAAAAAAATCTTTCCAAAAAGTTTAATTTTAAATATATATAGACATATTAGTCTTAAATATAAATTTAAATAAAAAATTTTATTTTATCTTAATTTTTACATATATTTAACGTAAAATTAATAATGTAACAAAATAATAAATTTAAAAATAAACTACATTTTATTTTTAAATATAATTTACTTTTAAAACTTTTGTTTCTACACATGGTGCATGAAAACACATAATATATAAAAATATAAGAACCATATCCGCGCGGATACGCGGATTAATTTCTAATCTATACTATTAAAGCTGAAGTACAAAAAATTAAGTGTTTGGAAACATGAATATGAAGTATTTAAAATTATGATGATTGGAAACAAGGATAGCCTACAAATCTAATGGGCTTACTTATTAAACTAAAAATTGATGCGGCCCAAAGTACCATTATTATTGTTTTGAGTTTTTATCATTGATATTACTTTATTTCTGAAAATTATTTATACATATATGTACTCATGTTTTAAATGTATTCGGAATAAATCAAGAATAATATATATTTTATTTATATAATTTATATTGACTATTTTTATAAGTTTTTAACAGTAATATACTAGCCTTCCAATTCTTCATTAAAAATGAACTTAAAAATTTGACTAAATTGTTTAGTGTATATAACTTTGTACCAAATTTAGTCAAAAAAAATTTATAAAATATTACTAAAATATTTACGAGTCACAACATTTTACTGACGTCCCATTACACAATACAGTGATGAAATACAATGTTTAAACAGTATACTATCCCCTATATATTATTTGAGAATCATTTAAAAAGTTGTAACCTTAAGTTTGTAAGAATTAAAAATAACCCCAATCCTACGTGGCATAGCTCTTTGGCTTCTATTTCAAATCCTAAGGATTTTAGAACATGTGATATAATGTATAGTTTAAAAATTATATTCTCTAGCAATATAATATTCCGTAGGCTATAGTTGGTCGCATATATCAAATATTTATTGTTTCGCATGCTTTCCTTAAATAAAACCTACGGAATTACCTAATGTGATCAAAATATATATATGACAATTAATGATTTTAAACAATAAAGATTTGATAACAATCTGTATACTTTTTTTCATTTTGTTTATTTCTTTATTATTAAAATAAATTACACAATTACTTTAATCATATAATAAAATCTAGATTTTTTTTTGTGTATGTTGTATTTCGAATTTTTCAAAATGAGTATAAATTACTAAAACTGTTAAAATTCCCACATAAACTTTTAAGATTAAGGTTTTAATTTTTTTTATATACTAAAATATAATGATTATAAGACCATATGAAGAAATAATTTTAGTTTATATATATTTAATATCATTTTCATTAAACTATACATCGTATGAAAATACATATTTATATTTTGATATTTGCCTTGAACATATATTGAAAAGTTAATATTTTAATTTTGATATATGTCATTGTTTTTTTAAAATGATTATAAACTATTGAAACTACTAAACATCTCAAATTTAAAAAAAATCGTTGGTGTAAAGTTTTATTACACAAATATGCAAATAATCATAAAATCATATGAGTAGAAACCTCATTTAATAAATATCCATATTAAAAGTGTGTAATATTACTATGTTTATATCATTTATTTTTAATTATTTATCATATACAATATATAAGATTGATTATATCGATTTATTTACCCTAATTGTGAATAAACAAGAGTAATAGTTAAATTTATATGCATACGCCAATTTATTGCATAATAGTAACTGATTTCTTAGTTATTTAATATATATTTATTATTTTATTATTTATAATATGCAGAAAGATATAAATAAATAATAAATATAAAATACTTATTGTGCATAAAGTGCAGATCTTAACCTAAGTATGTATCTCTTTAATTATTTTAAATCTTAAGTATTTTCTAAAACAAACGAAAGGAGAATAAAATTAAAAATACATATTTATATCCAGTAATAACCAAAATATTTAAAAAAACATAGCTAGAGAAAAATGGAAGATAAAAAGGACTGACACGTGAACGTAAACTTATCATAACCATAATTAATTTTTAAATTGTTAAATCATGATATAAAACTGAGTTAATTTTTTAATTTGTTAATTTGTTAATTTTTGAATTTTTTAAATCATTATGGTTATGTTAAATCATGATCATAATTAATTTTAAATTGTTCATTTGTATTTGAAAAACTTAAAATATTGTTTTTAAAAATAATTTAAAATTTAACATAATTTTTTATAAATTATTTTAAAAATAATAATTTGTAAAAAATATAATTTTCTAATATTATTAGACAGATAAATAAATTATATTAAATTAGTTTTGAAACTTTATATATTTTAAATGAAAATATTTTACCAATTGCTTCTTAAAAAACATTAGGGAACTTGCTAAATACTCTACCAATCAAGCCCAGTGACATTCCATTTATTTTCCATCACTCGAACACTGAAAAGTGAAAAAGATATATGAAATCAGATTCATTAAATTCTAAGATTTGATCTACATTTCTAACTAAAATTGTTTCTGATCTTACGTATAGATAATTATATAAAAATTTCAAAATTATGAAATTTCAAATACATACAAAAACAATCATATGTAAATTTTAAATTTGTAATACTAAAATTTTATATTTTAATTACATATATTCACCCTGCGCAATGCGCAGGTCTTATCCTAGTTACTTAGTAAAATTGAAACCGTAAGATTGTAATTTTAAAAATATTTATATATACCATAAAAATAAAGACCTGTCCAGTCGGGTCGGTTGTGATCTAGTTTATATTATACCAATAGACTAAAGAACTTGATGTCATTGATGAGTAAAGAACGTCCAAAGATTTTTATTGAGCATAAAAACATACATAAGAAGCAAACTTATTAGTTAAAACTCAGATATTTATACAAATACCAAGATCATATCATCCGTTGGAACTAAAACACGATAGACACCCCGATTTGGACGAAAGAATCTCATCAATCCTCTTTCTCATTTCATCCTCATTTAGTCCCTCTCCACGCACGACAAGTACGCCATTGTCTAGTTCTGCGTCTGTGACTCCTAACAAAAGGAGAAAGTTCATTAGATACGTTTTTGGCTCAAACATAACCATTAGATTTTGTTAGTGTACCTTTACACTTGTAGATATAAGCAAAAGCTTTCTTTGTGGCTTTTCCACCTGTAACTCCATTCCCGAATCTCAGTTCTGGCTGTAAATAATGAAATTACATTAGTTTAAAAGAATTATTCATATAGTTATGTAAACTGTATGTTTACAAGTGCTTTCTGATAAATTAAACTAACCATTTTGAAAGTTGGAAATTTGAATAGAGGTGATCAAGTGTAGGATAAGAGTTTATGTGTGATGCGAAGATTAGATGTCTAATAAATATTGCTTGGTCTGAGAAATAATCGTAATCAAACCAATCTACCTTTTGTTCCACATATAAAAGAAAATAGAAAAAAATCATAATTATATGAGTAATAATTCCTAATTATTTTAGAAATGTTCTATTATTTTTAGATGTAATCCTAAGTTTACTTAAACAATAAGAAAACTATTATAAATTTATCCAATTTTTTTCTTTTTTTTTTGTCTCAAAATAAAAGATTATGTTAACACTATATTAATTATTCTAATTTTGGTGACAAAAAGTTATATTTATCATATCTTAAAATTTTGATGTATTTAATGTAATTTGATTTCTTAATTTTTTTTTTCTTTTGAAACTGGCTTTTTGATTTCTTTGCTTATCCAATAACTATTCTACTTATACCTGAAAAACACTGAATGGGCACTGGACAAAAAAAAAATATAGTGTAACCTATCAATATATTTTCCAATAATAAATTTAAGAGAAGACAATATTTAACTAACTATGCCATTTACCAATACTTTTTTTTTTGGTTTTTTTTTTTGGCATCAGCCATTTACCAATACTTAAAATGCAATATAATTTGACAAAGATAATTTATGTTTCAATCTTATAATTACTGAAGTTTTTGGTATTATAAATTGTTGATAAAGTAGAAAATGATTTGTTTCTAAAAACGTAACGTGGAAACATCCTTCCCTTCTCTCTTCCCTAATCCCTAGTCTCCACGCATATCTGTCTCTCATTCTCGTCTCCGGCCACAGTGAAATTATCACAACGCGATGGGTGTGGATTACTACAACATACTGAAGGTGAATCACAACGCGACGGAGGATGATCTGAAGAAAGCGTACAAGCGTCTGGCGATGATCTGGCATCCCGACAAGAACCCATCCGCGAGGCGAGACGAAGCGGAGGCCAAATTCAAACGGATCTCTGAGGCCTACGACGTTCTCTCCGACCCTCAGAAGCGCCAGATCTACGATCTTTACGGCGAGGAAGGTCTCAAATCTGGGAAAATCCCCAATTATGAGGCTTCTTCCTCGTCCTCTTCGTCGCGACACCCGCAGTTTCACCACCAGCATCGGCAGCATCCGCCTAACGCGTCGTCGTTTCGTTTTAACCCTAGAGATGCGGAGGATATCTATGCTGAGATCTTTGGATCTGAAGGTGGAGGAGGAGGAGGGCATAGGACGACGTTTAGGGATGGGAGTTTCAGGAACGGTCATTTTAATGGTCATAGTAGTGAGCTTAGGAAAGCTCCAGCTGTTGAGAATCCGTTGCCTTGTAGTTTGGAGGATCTTTGCAAAGGTGTGAAGAAGAAGATGAGGTTGTCCAGAAATGTTTACGATGCTTCTGGGTATGTCTTTCTTTTTAAGATTCTGCACTAGTTGGGTAGTAATTGATTGGTTTGGCTGAGAGAAGCTTATTGCTTTTCATATCGTCGTCTGTTCTAGTAGAAAATTATTCTTCTTGTTGGTCAAAAATTGAACTTGTCCGAATGAAAAAAGGTTACTTTATTAGTTGGATTGTGTAGCTCTCTAACACTCCCTAAAAGGCAATGACTTTTGTGATTGTATAGGCAAGTACTAGCGAAGATCAACGTGTCCACCTAACCTGTTCCAAAATCTATCTTGTTGTACTTAATAAAAGTTAGTATATTAGTTGGAATCAAGCGGTCCATTTCATGACAAAACTGGCTATGTGTACCTTTCCAACACTGCTAAAAATGAACTCTTTGGACAAGGAAATGATTTGTGTGATTGTATAGGCAAAGGTTAACGTGTCCTCTCTTAATACCTTTTTTTTACCTATGAATTGCTTTAGTTTCTTTCCATAACTCCGGTGTTTGCAGTTTACAGCTGCAAGACTTGATTTTATGTATATTGAGAATAGATGATAGTTTGCACGTATCTGTATGTATGTATTGGGCTCATTTGTTATCTCAATACTGTTATGATTCGTGTTGTTTGACTATGCAGTAGAATGAGGGTCGTGGAGGAGATATTGCCCATAGAAATAAAACCCGGGTGGAAGAAAGGCACAAAGCTCACTTTCCCTAAGAAAGGCAACGAAGAACCTGGAATCATACCAGCAGATATCATCTTCGTGGTTGAAGAGAAGCCACATCCTGTTTACAAGAGAGATGGAAACGACCTCCTGGTCAATCAGGAGATCACTCTACTTGAAGCACTAACAGGTAAGACCCTCGACCTGACCACGCTCGATGGGAGGACTCTCATGATCCCACTGACCGATATCATCAACCCGGATCACGAGATTGTTGTTCCAAACGAAGGAATGCCTATCTCTAAAGAACCTGGTAGAAAAGGTAACCTGAGACTGAAGCTTAACGTGAGATATCCGTCGAAGCTGACGGCGGAACAGAAATCCGAGCTGAAGAGAGTTCTTGGTGGGGTTTCTTGAAGAAGTCAGATGATGAATGTAGATAGCAACAGGTAGAAGATGATGTAGATTGTGAATGGTAGGATGGATTCTTCTAAGTGGCGCGGCTTGGATTTGAAAGCCGTAAGAACAAACACAAGCTTTGCTTCTGCCTTTTCTGTTTCTCTTGTCTGGAATTAGACTACTCTTTTTTCCTCTTTTTTTTTAATTTTATTTATTTTGATTTCGTTTCGAGCCCTTTATGCGAGTTACTCCAAACATTGAGGTTGCTTTGTTACCTATTTATCTTACTAATAAAAATCATTTGTGCCGCAACTATAGTTAGGTATCTTGATAACTAGGTCCTAATGTTTATATTAGTTTGGCACTGAAACCAGAACACCAACAAGAGTCATCAGAAACACGGAAACTCAAAAACTCTCCAATTCAAACAGGTAGTAGGAAGGGATGTATGTTTAGCCAACAGTATAGGCACTAACAAAAAACCATCCACATCGAGCTAACTAAAGACAGTATCTACCTTACCAATCCATGTACAAGCGAAGACGTGCAGCCTAAACCAAATAAACAATGCAATCAGATAGTCATTTTGATTAGACGTTTAGTGGCTAGGAAAGATGGCCACACAAACCCTTATTCAACCAACTTGGCCAGCTGTTATACGGTATCGGAATTAAACAACACGAATATTTATTGGGGAAAAGTTATGAAAAAACTCAACAATGTACTACACCTTTTGTGGCCAATATATAGGCTTCCTCTCTTCTTACAAACACGTATAGTATAGGATCCCAAAAGAGGTACTTCAAGGAGGAAAAAACTGTTGATGAAAATGTTTTAAGCAGTGGTGTTGGAGACTGGGAAGAGCTTTTCCACCATGTTGTTGGAGAGGATTCTGTTTGGGTCCAGCTCCCTTCGTGCTTTGTTGTATGCATCCACCGGGAATCGTTTTCTGAGTCTTCCTTGTAGGGCCTCAAGTTCCTCTTTATCCTTTGGTATCTGATTTACATATACATTTAAGGACACTAAAGTTTAGAAATTGTCCAAATAGTAATCTCTGACAGATTCTCATTTCCTTTGCTTATTTTTCTTTGTTTACACAATGACAACAATTGCATTACAAGCAGAGAAAGGTATTAAGATACAGGAGTTTTTGACCGTTCCGTTACAATGAACTAATTATATATTCAGTTCTGAAAAGGTGAGTGAATCAGAAGGACCATATAAATTATAAAATGTACAATTACCTCAATTTTAGCCCAGTGTTCATACGCAGCATATTGATCCCACAGTTTTGCCTGTGTTAAATGTCTATAGTGGAAAAACTCATCTGTGATGTCCTTCCTCTGGCGAGGGTCTGCTGTCGGGAGATACATGATTATACCAACCTGACACAGCATGTTATAAGTGTATATGCTTAGCAATGGAAAGAGAGAGAATGACAGCGGCAAAAAGTCAATGCTGAAACAAGATTGTCAATAATAGCAAGAATCTACCAAGTAGAACAACAATCCATCTCTCTAATGTAAATTATACAGCATTGATCTTCCGAAATATTGTCCTCGCAACAGAGGCAGAGAGGCTACAGACTGACACCACTATCTCATTTTTACGTATTTTCACGAAAGTTAAAAAAGGGAAAACAGGTGTTACCCATGAGAAAATGTCATCCTCTGCAGTGCTGAATGCAGGACTCATAGGGCTCTTACTTCGGCCTGTCCAACGCTGCTCTATTGGAGAAGGTGCTGGTATTGCTTCTTTCTCTATCAATTCTTTCAGCTGTTCTATGTATTCAAGATCTTTCATGCTAGGCTTAGCGAGAGTTCCAGCAGGAAAACAAGTTTCTGATACCCACTGTTGACCACCACAGTCAAAGCCCAGAATTTCATCACTCCACCCTACTCTGTACCCTTCTGATTTTTTCCAAAACTCCGCCTCCGCTTGATTTACTTTTCCAACGTGAACGTCATTGAGAGGATCTAGTGCAATTAGCTTATCTCTCAACTCTGTAAATGAAAGCTCGTTAATGTCTGGCTCCCTGCTGTCAGGGGACTTCTTACTAGAATCCTGGACCCTAACACATCAAGAGAGAAAAGGATGATCACACTAGAGAAAGCAATTTAAAGATAACAACTAAAGCATAACGATACCTATACTTCACTATGCTTTCTCTATAGAGGTCACGGACATGCTTCAAAGCCTCATCTTTAGTGTACTTTGGTTTGTCCTTAGGCGCCCCACTCCATTTTGATACAGGGTTGCATGTTACAACCACGACCGTGTCAGTGTAAGGAATATACAGGTACTTCACATGCTTGTTTGTCGAGAGCAACTTTCTAATCAACCACAAACGAAAACAGAAGTTAGGAAAACTTCCACACTTATGAGATCAATTTGCTTCATATTAGACGGAGTTCTAGGAGCAGTAAGCCATTAACTAGAAAGTGAAAGTTAGCAAGACTTAACAAGGATGGAGATATACTACTAAGACTAAGATAAGGAAAGTTAGCAAGACTAAACTTGTGATTTTTCTTGATTTCTTCCAAGCTTGAAACGTAAGTGTGCTCAACAAGTTCCTGTCTTTCAACGCATTGAAGAGTGACCTCAGCAACAACTCCAAGTCCACCAAGACCACATCGAGCTAAATGAAAAAGATCCGGATCTTTATCCTTAGAAAGCTCAATAGTTCCCTTTGCAGGAGTGACCAGCTTCATGCCAATCACTTGCTCATCGATAGGAGGCAATCTAGCACCTGTCCCATGTGCCCCAACCTGAACATAAAAACACACAAAAACATAAACCCAAAACCTTTCCTTATAAGAAAAAAAAAAACAAGACGGAAAGAAAGCGAGTGTAAACCTGAATAATGCCACCAATCTGCTGCTCTCTAATAGAAGCAAAGTTCTGGAGAGTGAGGCCATACTCTTTAAGTGCGTCAACAAGCTGCTGAACCCTAATCCCCGCCTGCACACGAACTCTCTTCTTCTCCTTATCCACCTCGAGGACCTTATCCATTAGCGCCAAATTCACCATCCCCGAGCGAGACAAACCGATCCCATTGGGGGAAAGACCCGATCCAACGGGTCGGATCCTGTTCCTCTTCTCATGAGCTTCCTTGACGAGAGCTTCGAGATCAGCGAGAGTCTCCGGCTGGTTAAAGTTCCTAGTCTGGACCTCGTGAGTACCGCTCCAGTTAGAGACGGTGTGGAGATCTTCGGGGAGAGGAGCGTATCGGAAGATTTGAGCCTTCTTGTGTTTGGCGTTTTCCGGGAAGGGGAAGGAGAAGTAAGTGGCGGCGCCGGAGAAGAGAGCGAGTGCTGCGTATCCGGCGTATTTGCGGAACTCCTTTTCTGAGGCGGAGGAGGAAATTGGAGGTGGTGGAGGAGGAGGCGGTGGAGGGGGTGGAGTCAATGTCTGATTGGATGTGCAGAGTGTGCGGAGAGGGGGGATGGTAGATGGAGACGAGGTTAGGGTTCGAAGGGGACGGGCATTGGAGCGGCGGAGGAGAAGTGATCGGAGCATTTTTGTTTTTAGTTCAGGCGATCTAAAACCTGAGCCAGCTAAAGGTTTCTGTAGAAAATTACAAAGATCAGGTTTTGAGATTCAACGAAATTACAGAAATGCCCCGATTTTTTCTCAATTTAAGCCGTTTGTTGTTTTTTTAGAGACTTACACTAAAAAGATACATTATCATTTTATTTATTTTATTATCTCTTTTTTTTAATCTATTACTCAAGCGACTTGAGTTGGTCTGGGTAACTAAACCGGAATAGAACAACCAACGTACACAATCTTACGATAAAAAGACTTAGCTATCTTAGCTAAAGAATCAGAAACGCCGTTCTGTAATCTAGGAACATAAAAAAATCTTGAATTCAGGAAAACAGATCTTCCGTGTCAACAATTTCTCAGTTTCGTTGAGAAGTTAGGCCATGCATGAGGATTCCTGATCATCTCGATCATCTCCTTGCAACCAGTTCCAAAGCTCTGACATGGCGAATGTTGAAGCATTTTCTCTATTGCCCACCGCAGTGCTTCCAACTCTGAATGCAACGACGATTCCACTCGATCAAAATTACGCAGCCCCATTAACTGGCGATTTCCGGAATTATCATTTAACACCCATCCACATCCACTGAAGAAGTCCAAGATCCGTCCACCATGCATATGTTACCCAAACTTAGGGGTTGGTCTTCATCTATTCTGTTCTCAAGGGAGAACGGTATATTCTGCTCATTTGCCTGGAACCATGCTTGGCATTCACTTTCTGCATAGCGCGTTACCTCCAATGGGTCCCTATCAATGCCTCTAGATAGCTTATCATTCCTAGCCTTCCAAATGTACCAGACTAGCCAAGGATAAGGATCCCTGTCCAATTCCGGTTCCATTATTGCATTCTTCCTCCAGAATAGATAGTCCATATTCGTACTTTGTACTGGAAACAAAGCGGGATTGGTAGGCGTAGATGATAGCGCCCAAACTTGTAATGCAGGTGGGCATTCAAATATTGCATGTGTGATCGTTTCCTCGGGTTCCCCACAACTAGGGCAGTGGTTGTCACATCTCATATGTCTATAGTTTAAGATGCTTGTAACAGCTACATGTCCTGTTATCAACTGCCACATATAAGATGGCAAATCTTTTGGGGAGCCTTGACCTTCCAAGCATGTGCTTGGAGTTTTGTGATACTAGGCTCACATACTTCAGATCATCTTCCTTCCTCAAGATATTTCGTGCTACCCAGTATCCAGATTTAACTGTATACTGTCCAGTTTTCGTATAGCTCCAGTAGTACGTGTCCCGTCGATGCGTGGAACTAATGCCATACTCTTGATGAGAGGTATGTCAGCTGCATCAATATAATCGTGAATTCGGCTATCGTCCCAAGTCTTCGTTGTTTGATTAATCAAATCGCTCACTCGCATATTCGGATGCAGAACCGGTGCCAATGGGGTTGCTGGTCTCGCATGTATAGTAGGAATCCAAGGATCTTCCCAAGCTTTAACTTCATATCCCGAATAGACTTTTTTAATTCCTAATAATAGCAATTCTCTTCCGACCGATATACTTGTCCACACATATGATGGGCTGCTAGCATTGATTTGACGCAAAGGCGTACTCAATCTGTAATACCGGCCTCTCAAGACGCGAGCTACCAGAGAGTCCGGGTTCTGTACCAGTCTCCATAGCTGCTTTGTTAGTAACGCAAGGTTAAACTCATGGATCATCCTAAAGCCAATTCGGCCTTCTTCTCTGGGTAAGCATAATTTGTCCCATGTTGAACCAGTGAATACCCCTTTTTGGCGGATTTGA